ACTATATATATATATATATATATGTATATATATATATATATATATATATATATACATATTTATTCAAGTATATGCGAATTTTATTATTTACGATTGAATTTAATATAATGTACATATATACGTGCACTGTCGTTCAGATTTGTGCAAGGATCTACCAATGATTTTAGTGCCAAATCTTTGTTGCGTATCGATAATGTATAACAGAGACTTTTGACAAAAATTTAGTTAAAATACGGATTTAAGAGAAAAAAAAATATATAAAAACATTTCAGGAACATTTTTTAGTGAAATATAAACGAGCAGTGGTAATGTCATCGATGTGTATATACATATATAATTCTTTTAATTCAATTTACTCTCTTTCTCTTCTCTGATTAGATGAATATAGAGCAATGCCAAAATAAACGATAAATGCTAGTTTTATCATGGTACGATATTGTACATATTTCTTATTATTATTGCGACGCTTTCTCCAGTTTTGCTATACATTTCATTTTATTCAGTATAACAATCGGCAATTGTCGGCAATGGGTGGAAACGATTGTAACTTGTCCTCTCAACTTCTTATTTCAATATTTAATGCAATCATCCCTTCTTTTTTCCACTATGCTATAAAAAAAATGAAACATAATCGCATGATGCGATGGATTCGAATGTATCCTCACACGTAAGAAAACTAAATCCTTTTTTTTATAAAAATATAATATTAACCACAGAACTCGAACAATCTCGCATGTATATATAATCCCGTGTTATGCCATATACACAAATGTATTAATGTCCTCATCATGCCTCCGAATATATTTATGTTCAATGAGCCATTCTATTTGTTCCTTTATCATCTTTTTACTCGGCAAGAACATATTTTTCAATATATCCACTAATTCGGTCTGTAGTTGCGCATTACTGATTATCTTACGCATCTTTAAAATCTTAATGATAGCTTCCTGTAATTATATACAAGAATTATCAAACTAAATAAATAATTAATCGATATTTTTCTATGTATTATATGATGTTATTTCTTTTAAAACCTTGTAGGCGACATACCTGAACTCGTAATATTCTGAGTTGTACAATAGATTGATTATCCTCTTCTCTGCTACGTTCTGTTGATAATTGAAGACGTCCTATCAAATTTATTTTCCCCCGTTTTTGCATCTTGCCATTTTTTCTAATATAGAAATACTCCGATTAATAATTATGATAATAATTTAATATTGCTTTCGATAAATAAAAATAAAAATAAATATTGCGTATTATTCTCTATATATAAATATTAAACTCGGAAATATAATATAATATATAAATCATGAGATAATCAAATAGACTTAATTAATAGAATTAAACGTACAGCTTGTATTGTACTTCTTGCTAATATGAGAAAAATAATAGTTAAAAAATACTAACACAATAGCGAATTCTTGATTAACCCAAAATTTTGTGTCGTTCGCAAAATCTTTTGGAGTAGCAGCATGCGGTTCCACCAAAAGAAGTTGTCGTTTTAACTTTGGGAAGGCACACAAAGACCATAGAGTCCGTCTCAACTCGGGATCCGGAAGCTCGGTGGCAAGCCGGAGATTTTCGTATGAAATCCTTTCGTTGGGTCGTTGATTCCAGGCAAATAATACCGCCATTTGAAAGGTTGTTACATCTATATCAAAACGTCCCACTTTATTCGCGAACGTTATCTGAAATATTCGTCATGAAATATAGATTATGTAACAAGTTAGCATGTTTTGATAGAATTTGGTTAATATATACCGTGCCATTCGACATGTGATGATGCCATTGCAATTTCCTTCCGCTATGCTTTTTTTATAAAATTCTTCAACTTCTGGGATATAATCTTCTAATTGAAGCGGCAAACTTACAGTAACTCGTTCGCTACCTCTGGCCCATGCACCTGCATTGAGAATCTGCAAGAAATCTAGCAGATAAATATTTTGAAGAAATTTGAAATATTTCTGTACACGTCTTTGATTTTATATACATCTTTTTACATCTTTATATATATTTTATATACAACTTTTTTGATCTCATTTTTAAATAAAAACATGTACATTTGTGAAAAACGGCATGTATGATTACCTTAATATTTATGCTATCTGCAATAGCAGCTCGACATTGTTCTTTAAACTGTTGATTCAAATCCTGAGATACTTTAATATCTTGGAACATACGAGCTAATTTATTAACAAAATCCGCAGGCATACCAACTTCACGAAGCATATCTACCATATTCTCTTCTTTTTCCGAATCTGTTGTCGTATCTAATATTAATCGTCTAGTTAAATGTGCCTTATGATAACGCATAAATACATCCTTATTTTGAACATATTTTAACACCAATAGCTAAAATAGAATAAAATATCAAATAAATTAAAAATTCAATTTTTAAATTTATATGGATATAATTATTTACTATATATACTGACCACATCCTTCAGTTTACTTTCGATCTCATCGGTGGTTAATTTTTTACTGAGTGGTGTTTTTCTAAGAAGCATATCACAGAAATTTGCTAGGAGTTCCGGACACTTCGATTCAGCTAATCCGTTATTATTAGTAATAGGTCTATTGTTTAAAACAATCGCGCCACCGATTCCAGAGCCTTGCCGAGTAGGCAATTCTAATTTAAATACCGAGGCATCATTCACAACGAGCTTATAAGCTTTATCTCGTGCTGTAAGAAACCGCGGATCATCATCGAATGCCTCTTTAACGAGCGTGGAAAATCTATGGAAAAGATCTAACAGTCTTTCCACGTATTTCTCGGAATCTTGAGTGATAACATCTACAGCTGCCATCATGTCCGCTAGACCCGCCTCCACGATATGTTCTTCCAAGTTTCTCAACATAGGATTGACGCCATCGGGCACTCTATCCATCAATTTCAGCATGAGGCGAAGTTCTACAATTATTTTATCTCATTAATAAACTCTGATTATACAAAAGTAATAAAATTGAGGAAAACGATCACTTACTATCAGTTTGATTATGTTGAATCATTGTTGGACATTCTGCGAGTATCGCTGTTTTAAAGTTTGCGACTAACACTTTTACGCAACAGTCCATTAATCGTTGCATACTCGCGGTATTTGGCTCTAAATATTTCTGAGCGCGAGACTCCTCTTCTCTTAGCTTTGAATCAGCATAACGCATATAACTTTCTACACCTTGCGTAGACAAATATTCAGGAGCTTTTATCCAATAAAATGCTTCAGTGGCTTGTACGTACGCCGCCTCGAAATTGTCTCTATATATCTGGAGTTTATCCGTCGGATTTGAACACAAATTCACTGAAGCATTAAAATGTTACGTTATACATACATGTTAAACACATACTTTGCTATATATAAATATGTAGTATATTTGCTTCATTACCATAAGATTCTCTGACGCCGATAACGAGTTGAGAATCGAACGCCTCGCCATTTCTTTCAGCTCGTACTAATCTCATGGCTGCGTCCTGAAGTCTTTGTTTTATTTCATTGAATATACTTTGGTTCCAACTATCCAACATTAGCTGTAAAGAAAAATAAGATCTTGCAATATCACAAAATATTAATATCATATATCAAATATAACTTGCAAATTTTTTTACCTTTCTAACAATATCATCAGGTTGATTTTTTTTCTGTGTACCAGAACTAGTTTTTCCCGCCAGATACGTTTCTAATTGCCTAAATGGTGTTGGTAAATAGTTACATTGTGTAAAAAATTTTCTCCATTCAGCAATATATGCTTTCAACAGTGCTTGTTCTTCTTGATGTGATAAAACTCTCTGCAAAAAATTAAAATATATATTTTGATGAGACATAAAATACAACTTTAAATTTAATAAAAATTTTTCACGTTCTCTCACCTGTTGAGCTTGTTTTATAAACTCCATTATATCATCTTGCAACGCATCACGTAATTTGGGAGGACCTTTGTCATCCCACAGGCATACCTGAACGGAATAAAACAGATCCTGCCATTCGGCCTGTGTCACTGGCTCTTGCTTGAGCAATTTCAATATAATCGGTCGCATATACGGCCATTTATCCTCAAATGTGAATTGTGTCCTATCCTAAATATATCAATAACGTATCTCGTTAAATCCGTTAAAAAAAATAAGAGATAGAAAAGCGACAGAGACGAAAAGTAAATAATGAGGAAAAGGAAGGGAGAAATACGGAAACATACGCGACCTTTCGGTCGCGAGAGAACAATTGTTAACGATCGGAATAACCGACCATTTCGAAAAAGTGAACTGGATAAAGCAGAACCTGCATCTTTCGAAACGCGATGAATCAAAGAGCCTCACACGTCGATGCCACCGTTTCGCACCATAAAGACGCGCCCGTTATCGCGGTGGCCTCGCCACGAGATAACGCCGACTCTCTGCGATCGAGCGAGGAGGGAGCGAACTTCCTATCGTGCGCTTCTGCCCGCACAGGTACTTGTTTATTCGCCGTCCACTAACCTTCAACAACGCCGCCATCACAGACTCTTGACGCGCACCTCCGTCAAAATTTGCAAGACTACACGGAGTGGACACGCACAGGCGGTTTCGCGCGAGTCTTCTACCGATCGACTATCCGGGTCAGGAGTCGGTGACGAGATTCCTCGATTAGCGTGGAACTCGGCGTGAAACGGACCGCATTGTGTCCAGGATCCCGTGACCGCTTGCCCCTTACAATGACTCCCGGTGCGTCTTCAGTAGAACATAAAATTCGCGTGTTCCCATCGGGATCTCTATTGCGTGAGCACGTGCCGTTGTAATTCCCTATGTGACAGCTCACCCGATTGGGTGATTCCACAGGATTTGATATAGCGAGATCGAGCAAGGATACCAACGGTGCTCCAACTCTTTATCATCGTGTTTGGACGATGAAGAGACGGGCATAGAGATCTTAATGCGTCACTATCTCTTTTCTTTTTTTCTCTTTTTAACAGCTTCCATTATTTGTATTATTGCTCATACAACTTGTATTTGCGTGTTTATGTACATGAGAGTTTCTTTCAGTGTAGATTAGAGGAATATATAAATGTAAGATATGAATATGTATGAAAATACATAGGATTGCTTATAGTGGACAAATATATGAACATTATGTTATTTCTTTTGATGCAGAGATACAGATATAATTAAAAGACGTAGAATTATGCGATCCTAATTTCCGTGTGATGTCAGAATATAATTTTCTGTTTGTGATTAAATACACTTGTAGAATAAACGTCCGACCGTGTGACGTCATAATGCAAAAAAGGCATATACATCAAGAAGGCGCGATAAATAAACCAAGACTAATTTAAAAATGCGCTAGACTCAGAAGTTACAATTTGGACTCCACGCACGTCTCGATATGCCTTGATGCAATATAAAAGAAAACGCTTATATTTTTGTTACACTTAAATCACAATGGGATTCACAACAATCGCCTTCCTCTTGTCATCCTTGTTGTTATTATCTTCTTCCTGCTGCAGATCATCCTGCCCTCTGATTCTGATGTTGTGCTTCTCCTTGTATTCATTTATTTCGACTCCTTTCTTCGTTACTTTATCATTTAAAGAGTCTATCAATTTTACCAACTGAAAACACATTTAAACGTTATTGCATATAATCAATATTTTGCTTTCAAGGAAGGATTAATAATGCGATGTGTCGGACCTGTTCTTTATTCGTTACCAGACTAACCATCACGTCTTCCACTATGCGCTCGCATAGGAGTCCACCGATCAATCTGTAGCACTTCCCCTTGGGATCCACGCTCTTTAATGTCTCGATAACAATTCTAAAATGTCAATTATTATGTCAATGGAATAAAGGACAATGCTCATATCGATTAAATTTCGCAAAGCTAAAAAAGATAAACGCAAGTTTCTCTCGCGTTCACGAACACTTTGTCAGAAAAGACAAGCGCGCAGGTTAGGTTAGGTTGGCTCATACTTGTGCTCGTTCAATTCCGACTCCATCTCGGACAGCTTGTTCACTAAGTTCTTCTGTTCATTTCGTAGCGCCTGGAACTCCGTCAGTATTTCCTCAGCGGTTTTCTCTCTTTTCGACGGCGTCTTCGCCGGTTTTTTCTCGCTGGCCATATTAGGAATCTCTCGACCGCGGTAGCTTCACTACAACGATGCGTCGTCAGGCGCAGCGAGCAGCGAGTCAGCGAGAATAACAACGTTGGGATTTGGAGTTTGAGATGTTGGATGTAGGAACCGTATGGTTTGGAATGTTGTGATTGGGAACGAGCGTTAGCCAATCAGCGTATCAGACTAGAGAAAAACAAATATAACGTTTGCATTGTTTTCTCTCTCGAACATCATGTAATCCCGGGCCGCGCAGCAGGGCCTGGCAGGGTCTCGCAAATCGTCGCGAGCCATTTTGGTGCATTGTCGTCGACCGAGCAGCTGTGCGCAGGATACTCGCTCGTCTTTCGTCTCGCCGCGAAATGTCAACGCTCGGGGTCACGCGTGTTACGTAGCTGCGGTGTCACGAGAGGATAACGGACGTACTATCCGGACGTTTTCGAGTTGACGCGGACACGATTGTATAACATCGTCATCGTCGTTGTCGTCGTCGCCGTCGCCGTCGTAGTAGTCGTAGTCACGGGTGGTGACGTGAAACTGATCACCCCAAGGAGAAACAAAGAACGCACGATCGCAAAGCACTTTTTAATAACCTTGACCCGCAACGGTGAGTGCCTCTCCGTCACCGAGACAAAAATAGTCACGCTGCTCTGAAAAAAGTTTTTTGCCTGACGTTTAAAAAAGAAATTCCCCCCTCGTTTGGCCGTGTTGACTAATCCGCGTGATATATCGCGTATGTATAAGTATGCATCAAAGGATGCTTGCAATGCAGTTCGGCGATGTATGTTGTTTCGCGCTTTTGGCTCTGAATCATGCATTTTCTTTGTGTATATACATGTACATATGTATGTATATGTATACATATAGCTATATAGATAGACGTTATAAATTCATGTACATATGCATCTGTGTATATGTAGCTATATAGATATACGTTATAAATTCACGACGAATATTTTGGCAATATTTAAAAGTGTAGGCACTATATTTCTATATAATTTGACACATAAACTTACAATGAATGGCTGTGTTTTCAGATTTTGTGAGCTGCTGACGGTAATGTGTGTGCAATAGGGACTTCTTTCAACAGTGCTTGTCTGAATTTCTGATGAAAGTTCCAAGGTCATCAAAATTGTAACCACACTTTGTAGGGATAAAATGTTAGCCAAATTAGCTATGTAAGGACAAGTTAAGATGTGCATTTGCCTGGACTACATTTATAATCATTTTTACTGTATATATTCTGTTGGTTAGTATTTGCATATTTACATGATGTAATGTTTATCTTTGTATTCTAAAAATATGATTCATCTATAGGTCATTGTTTTCTCTCATACTTTCTGTTTCAGTACACATTGTATGGGAAATTTAAATGAGACAAAATGAGTAGTGAAAAAACAGAAGAAAGCCAGCAGTCACCTCTGGTGCTGGAGGAGATAAATCTTGCTCCAATGCGACCTGTGTTCCCAGATACAAACAAACGATGCGTGGATGTATGGATGGAGAAAATGGAGAAGGGAGTATTAACAAATATCAACTTTAGGGAATATTGGCGAGTGTGGGTTCCAAAGATCTATAGTCCAGAACGGAATGGTAACTGTCTGGAATGGGTTATCGATGAAGACACAGCCCATAGGATGCTTCTCAAGACTCTGGAGGAATTTATTTGTGGTGGTGATCCACAGGTGGTTCTCAAGGAACTTAGTAAAATGGATAATCCACCATCCATATGTGGCAGAATGTTCAAGATGGGTGAACCGACTTACAGTTGTAGAGAATGCGGAATGGACCCTACCTGTGTTCTTTGCGTAGACTGTTTCAAACAATCGGCTCACCGAAATCACAAGTACAAAATGGGTACGTCTAATGGAGGTGGATGTTGCGACTGTGGTGACACGGAAGCTTGGAAGAAGGAGCCATTTTGCAAAACGCATGTGGTAGGAACGCAAGCAAAGGAGTCACGTGGCAACAAACTGCCAGGTGACATTGCAGAAAGAGCAGTGGTTGCTTTCGAAGCGTTATTGGAATACTGTTATGAATTACTGACTTTGAGATATACCGTGGCATTACCATCAAACCTCTGTATCAGAGACACGGCGTTTTATTCACTTACACTCGATCAATTAGATATTTTCGATACTTATTGCACTGTGCTTTTCAATGATGAACATCACACTTTCGATCAGGTGATAACCATGCTCACGCGTGTCCTGAAGTGTTCACAAAAGGAGGCTGTAGAATATGTGACCAATGTTGACAGGGAAGGTAGAGCTGTCGTGAAGTGCTCGGTATTTCGACATTGTAACGAATTACGTGCGGAGGTTGAAAGATTTACGTACAGACATAGCAATCGACCACTCAAGGTGCTTGTTCTTCATACTCACATAGTCGCTCATCAGACGTTTGCTATACGGTTACTTAATTGGTTGCAACAGTTCATAAGTCATTGCGAGGGTTTCCGTGTTTTGTTTAGCAATATCGCTCTCAACACGAAACTACCTGACACTTCGGTTGTCGAGGGCATACTCACGAGAGACTCGCAGTTGTGGAAGTCCGCCAGAACAGTATGGCATAGGTTATTCATCTATGGGATGCTTATGGAGTATGAGAGCAAAAAGGCACTTTCCATCGTATTCACTAAGAATTATGCATCCGTTATGAAAGACTTTATCAAGGACGATCACGATCAATCATTTTCGATCGTGTCACTCTCCGTACAATTATTTACTGTGCCAACTTTAGCGCATCTGCTCATCGCACGTCATGAAGCATTGTTTATCTTATTTACCACGTTCATCTCCGAGAGCGCTCGGCGATGTAATGCCGTTGGGAAGTTAGAATTTGAAAGAAATATGCCACATCATACCTTCAAGCGGGCACAATACGTACTTTATGATCTGCGGTATCTGCTGAGCGCGAAACCAGACGAATGGACGGATGATCTCAGACGTGGTTTCTTGCAAGGTATCTCGCTGTTGTACACCCTTCTTTCCAGTATGCAGTTCATGGACGCGGTACAACGACAAGTCGGACAGCATATGGAATATGAGCCAGAATGGGAATCAGCGTTTAATCTACATATTAAATTATCGCCAGTCATTACTCTAGCCTTGGAATGGTGCAGCTCGGACCGAGTGGTGTTGATCAAATCATTTATATCGCTTCTGAGAAAGTTGTACGAACAGCTAGGAAATGAGCCGGTACCGAGTCAAGTGCGAGAGCTAGCAGACCATAGCGCGACCTGTATGCAATACGACGTAGCATCTGAACCAGTTTCTATCCATTTGCCGCTCTCGAGATTTTTTGCTGGTCTGTTCCTGCATTTGGAGAAGTATAATCTACATTTTCAATCTCCGGAATTTATCAATCAAACAAAACCGACGCCTGAACAGATCATCGAACCTGTGCTGGCAGCACAGGCTATGATTTCGCAAGTACACGCAGGCATGTGGCGGCGAAACGGCTATTCCTTGCTGAATCAGTTGTACTTCTATCACAATGTAAAGTGCCGCAGCGAAATGCTGGACCGGGATATCGTTCTGTTGCAGGTCGGAGCAACGCTGATAGAGAGCAATGAATTTCTGATTCATATTCTAAACAGATTTAATCTCTTCAATTGGGTACAACCGGATTTCGAATTAAACTCCTTGAAGAATCCAGAAGAGGACAGCATGCGCCAGACGATCAATCTGGTGGAAGAGTTCCTGGGTTTACTCATCACGATCATCGGCGAGCGATACGTTCCCGGGGTCGGTCAAGTGACTGCAGATGATCGTCTCAAGAAGGAAATTGTACAGCAACTATGCATAAAGCCACTTTCGCACTCTGAACTGAGCAAGACGTTACCCGAGGATGTTGTGCACAATGTTCAAAGCGAATTAGAGAGGGTAATACACGAAGTAGCCGAATTTAAGAAGCCAATGCATACGTTCACGGCGAAGGGCGTATACGAGCTCAAACCGCATTTGTACGCGGATTACAATGTGTTTTTCTATCATTACACGAAGGAGGAACACAACAAGTCCGAGGAGGTTCAACGAAAGCGTCGGAAAGCTCAGGGGGAATTGGAATGCTGTCCGCCGCCGAAATTACCTAGACTAACGGAGTCGTTCAGTCTGGTGGCAAATCTACTGCAGTGTGACGTTATGCTTCATATTATGCAAACTGTATTGGAGCGTGCGTTCAGTCTCATAGCTAGAAGTTTCTCCGAGCCGCAAGTGCACAAGGTACTATATCTGATCGGCTATGCGCTGCAAGAACAGGAATCCGGTTATTATCCTTTCCTCGCTTTTCCCGAACGAGCAGCGAAATGGAATATCTACAAGCTACTGGAGAGTTTGACTAGCAGCCCGCGCGTGGAGGCTCATAAGGATCTACTCACATGGGTCTTAACCAAGTACCGTGAGGTCGCCAGTTTGAGCGAAAAAGAGAGTAGTCCGGTGTCTCTTCAGTCCGAGCAGCAGCAGCAGCAGCAGCAGCAAGCGAGCGAGGCTGATGCAGACACCAACAAAAAGTCGGACAAAGAATGGCGAACGAAAATGGCAGCTCTGAAACGTGCCAAAGTTATGGCGCAGATGGCTGCTATGCAGAAACACTTTATGAAGAAGAATGCTACCCTGTTCGAGGAAGCGAGTTTGGACGCCAACAGTAAAACCAACGATCGCGGCTCCGCCATGGATTTAACGGAACCCTCGTCTCAGGAAGGTACTCTGGTTGCCGTCGGTATCGATCAGACTACCAGGATGTACGAACAAAAAATGTATACGTGTATCTTGTGTCAGGAAGATCAGACAGCGACGGAAACTGGTTCAACAATGGTGTTGGCCGCATTTGTCCAGCAGTCCACCGTACTGTGCCAACGCCACGGTGATTTTCAAGAACCTGATCCGTTATATTTATCGGCAAAATTGGGCATGTCACCGTACACAAGTACGTGCGGCCACGTAATGCACGCTCGCTGCTGGCAGGATTATGTCGATAACGTACTCGCAAAGGAAAACCGACGGCCCTACAGATCGCGACAACAAGCTAGCTTTGATGCCGAAAATCACGAGTATCTCTGCCCGTTGTGTGAATGTCTCAGCAACACCGTTCTCGTCCTCGTACCACCCTTAGGAATTCTACAACCGACTCCGGAACCTCAGCCAGACATCACATTTGAGACCTGGGTGAAGGTAATGGCGCTCGCGATGGAATGTAAACCGAACAGAAAATTTGGCAAGGTCGTAACCGAAACGGAAGAGGGCGGGCCTGAGGATGAAAAGATAGTCAATCCTATGACAATTCTCCGTGAACATATCGGATTAGCTTGGGAGCCGTTCGAAACAGAATATTCACGACTTGGACCGTGTCTGACTCGAAGGATGGAGGCCATGATCAACATGTACGCTTCACTCTTTGCACAGAATACGTACAAGGGATTCGGTAGCTTCGACGGTGATCCAAAGGTGCCTTTGTTAGCCTGGAAATCGGTGTCTTACACAATCCATGCGATAGAATTTCTATTGCGCGATCTAGACAAGCCGTTGTTGGGTGCCATGACTTCTCGACAAAGCGACAGTCTCGAGAGTCTTGTACGATTGTCGGCTCTTCTGGGCGCAAGTTTTTCGAATCGCGCAAATATTTGGTCGCAGCGCAACGAAATCAAAACGTACGCGATGTCATTGCTGACGATGCTAATAGAGGGACCCTCCACCGGACCCAGCATCTTTGACATCGACCCGTTCGGCGTGCTGGTACCACTTCTTAACTCGTTACCGAGCGTCTTTCATACGAGAGAGCACGAGATGGGTCCGAATCCGCCGCCGAATCCGCCACCCATCATCACGGGCGACGTATTCGACTCACACGCGCTCAAACTCGTGTTTCTGTCTCACATAGCGAAGATTTTGTACACATCCGACTTCACCGACGCGATGGAACTGGACAGTCACGAAACGGAGGATGATGACGATGACGAGGAGGAGGAGACCGTCGTTGATAGCAAAATGGATTTTGCCCTGTTTCATATATTGGGCGTGCACTACGACAAACAGAGAGCTAGAGATGTGTGGCGACGAGTGGAAACTGCCTGCCGACCTTTCCTTCGATGTTGCGCTATTTATTTCCACTACGTGACCGATGTGCCGCCGCCGAACGAATTGACGCAGGTGCACGGCGACACATACGAGGTGCTCTGTCAATATCTGGGATTGCCCCCTACCTGCGACGCTTTGATCTACTCTCATCTAGATGTAGCTTTGAAGCTCATGGCTGTATGGCGGAGACATACTACCGTCTGGAATCATATGTCGGGCGAAAGAAAGGTGACGATCATTAAGGATCCGTTAAAAGTGAACAAGCTGGTTGATTTGCCGGATGATTATAGCGAGCTCATCAACTCGATATCTCAATTTACCTGTCCGAATAGCGACCGGGAAGACTCGCGCAATCCGACGATGTGTCTAGTTTGCGGTGAAATGCTATGCTCGCAAAGCTACTGTTGCCAGGTGGAGTTTAACAAGAGTCAGGTAGGGGCGTGTACGTTCCACGCGAACACGTGTGGCTTTGGCGTCGGTATATTTTTGCGCGTACGCGAATGCGAGCTTGTGTTTCTGCGCACCCCCAATCGCGGCTCCTTCGTTTGTCCGCCTTATCTTGACGAATATGGCGAGACGGATCAGGGTCTGCGACGTGGAAATCCACTGCATCTTTGCCACGAGAAGTACCAACGACTAAATCACATATGGCTCAGTCACGGAATTCACGAATCCGTCACTCGGGCATTCGAGCAGTCTTCGAACAGTTTGATGCCGACCCAATGGCAACATCTATAACTCCGTGGGATCTTCTCCATGATGTCACAAATCTAATTCAGACGTTTTAGACAAAAAGAAACGAAAAGACGTGAGAAAAGATTTTATTCTTACGCGTAGCGTAAGTGAGAGCGGGTAGCAGCCTAAGTATTGATTGTTGATCGTCCACGATTTGATCTACATTTGCAACGAGATCGACAAAAGTAATTTATTCAGCGCGCGCACGAAAATACGGCTTTGTATATTCAAAAAATGATATTGGATGTTGTCTCTTCTATCTTTTTCCCGTCTCTCGCGTTGAAATCGTCGTTTTTAGAGTTTATTGTATCGCGATTTCAGAGTATAAAATTTCTATTTTTAAATCGCTTTCGAGTTAACGAAATTTGTATATTATCTGTTATATAAATTAGGATATTATTAACGAACGTTGTTGCGTATGAATTTTGTGTTTATTGCAAGCTTA